CATCACGCATAACGGTTACTTGGGAAGACAAACATCATCACTCCAAACATCCCCCCCTTCCTCCTTCTTCCCCCAGCTTTATATGCTGAGCATGACGTCATATGGTATGGAACATCCCGTTGGTCAGTTGGGGTCAGCTGTCCCGGCTGTGTCCCCTCCCAACTTCTTGTGCACCCCCAACCTGCTCGCTGGTGGGGTGGTGTGAGAAGCGGAAAAGGCCTTGACTCTGTGTCAGCGCTGCTCAGCAGTAACTCAAAGATCCCTGTATTATCAACACTGTTTCCAGCTCAAATCCAAAACATAGCCCCATACCAGCTACTATGAAGAAAATTAACTATCCCAGCCAAAACCAGCACAAGTAGTAATCACCAAACACTGGACAAGGATGTCTGACTAGAGAATACGTGCATGGCTTTTCTTTTTACTGCCATTCTTGATATCTGTCCATAAACCAATAACGTATACATTGCTTTTGATTAATAAGGATTCTATTTGCAAGTGCTAAACCATCTGTTGATGATATATCCACAACAGCCCAGCTGATCTGCTGTTCTGGGTTGATAACCTGAGTTCTGTTTTAAAAGAAATATTTAGGTCCAGATGGACCATGGTATTGCTACTTAAAACAGACCTTCAGCTTTTGAGGGCAAAGCAGCGTTAAGGACCTGGCTACAGGAATATATACAAACCATCACTGAAGACAACGGTCCAGATTGCACTGCCTGAGTACAACACTTTTCATAACTACGTCCTTCCCTTTCCAAGTTCTCAAATTTGCCTGTGCCTTGGCAAAATTTATTTACCATCACAGCCTTAAGGGCAAAACAATTTACTACAGATATAGGACTCTTTAATTTTTTTTAATCCAGGACTTTCCTGGCAGAACTACGTGCATATGCATCCAGAGCACACTAAATTATTGCACATGTACTATGCATGCACTGTTGATTTTCCAAAACACATCTCATTTACTATGCATTTCTTGTGAATGAGCCATGGACAAATCTTGCATTCCTGGATGTCACGCAGCCTAGGAAAATATCCAGTTCTGCCTGGCTTAGGTGAAAGAAGAGTCTTGAGAGAAGACTTTTGTGGTTGCTCAACCCATATTGGAGCCAGCACTTGAGGCCCATGAAGACAGGCCAACTTTGCTGCATCTCTGTGGCCATTAAATGAGGTCAACCCAGAAAATGTACTGTGTATTAGATTTTGCTCTTATAACATCAAGTAATATTTTGAACTTTCTTCCTAAAGTTCTTGAAGGAAATGAGGATATGGTTCTTTTAAAACTTTGCAAGAGGGGGAACAAGACTTTATATAAAGGGGAGTATTTCAGTCTCAAATACAAATGGAACTGTTGCTCTGGGATTTGAAGAAAACCATTGAATTATGGTCATTAGTTCTAAAGCTCAAAACGAGCCTTT